ATAATTGAAATAAAGGAAAGGACAAATAAATTTGCATAGTTAACTTGAACAAGCTTGACTCTTTAAAGGTTCCCAGTGAAGTCGCAAAACTGTCACACCTGATCCATAATTTCCTGAATGAGAAAAATAGAATTAAAAATATATATTTAGGAGTTGCCATGAAAATTTTAAAGGACAAATTTGAAAACCCTTTCGACATGTGGTTTACGTATAGCAAAGAGTACGAGAGTTATAATGTGTAGGGAAAAATGTAAGAAACACAAAAGGGAAAATTTTGTTTATTTATAAATTAGGCTTGACCTAGAATAAAACTCTATGGCCTATGTACTCTTTTGAAGAATTAAAGCTCATTTAGTTCGGGGTAAAAAAGTGTATCTTGGTTGAGATTTATTTTTAAAAATATTAATTGTTAATTTTTTATAAAATAATTTTGATGTTGGTTTGTAGTTCTTAGTTATGAAAATATTTTATTTCTTTATTTATGATGAAATTATGAGAAATAATTATATGGTAAAATTTTTGATAGGATTTATGAGAATATCATATACTAAAGTTATCTTTCAAAAATGATTTATTTTATTTTTTAAAAAAATTTTATTTTTATTTATGAATAAAATATTTTGATATATATGCTCATGATAATTTATCACCACATTGAATAAGCTAATTGACTAATAAACTTGTGATGACTCTAAAAGTCCTCATGTAGCAAATAATTTGAAAATTTTTTATATGTGATAATTTATCATCATAGAGGATAAGTTAATTGACATATATGCCTACAAGAACTTTGAAAGTCTCATGCGGTTAATGGTTTCAAATTTATATACATGCGATAATTTAAATATCGTTGCATAGAATAATAAATTAATTAACTTATAAATTTATATAAACTTTGAAAGTCTCACGCATTAAATAAATGAATACAAACTTGTGGAAATTCTGAAAGTCTCACGAAGTAAAAATAATTCTGAATGATTAGGATATCATATGTGCTTACAACAAAGAACCAACAGATACTAACCTTAGATTAGATCTTGGAACTGCTTTCCTAGAATTTCTTATGAATATTCCCACACGTTGTGTATCTCAGAATTAAATTATGATGCTAACATTCTTAGCCATCATAAATTTTTTGTAAAACAAGATGATACCGTACATGAGGCCATTAATCAATAAATTATCGATGCAAGCAAATTGAATATATGTAAATGCCCTTGCCCTTTGTTTGTTTTTTTTTCCCAAGAGAGTGAATAGCTACCTCTAGTTGTGGGACCATGGGCATGAAGACAAAGGAGTCAACAGGGGAGAGGACTCAAGATGAGATCACATGGAGTGGAAAAAAATTATTACAGATTATACAAGTCGTACAGCACATGCCATCATAAGAAGACATAAAAGAATGGCACTATAAATGGTAGTTAGTGGAGATTCTAGTTTTTGCAAGCAAAGGCTTGTACTCCTAAGGCTTAATGGAAGGTAAACTTATCTTTATAAATTTTAATCAACTTAAATTTTCTGTTGTTTCCTTTTTCTTTCCTTCAATTTCTCTCTAACCCTCCTCCTCTACTCTACCTTTACTTTTATTTATATAGACTCTTATATCTAGGGTTTCTCTAAAATCTCAATCATATCGTAATTTATATTAATATTTTATATATTCATATATTATTATTATTTAGAGATTAGATATTAATTGTTATCTTATCTATTATTATATTCTAATTATTATATTGCTTGTAATATTTGATATTATATTATATTATATTCTTATTATTATATTATTTTGAGATGTTCAAATCTTTATAGCTCATTATTATATTATATTATGATCTAGCTTGATTATATTTATGTCATTTTTTATTATTTTCATATCCAAGACCTTTTAGCATTTTATTTATTTATTTTCTTGTTATAAAATATTTTTTTCTTTTCATTCTTATTATTTTATAGAGATTTCTTTTGTAAAATGTTTTCTTATTTTCTATTTTCCATTTTCTCTTTTTATTAATTTTTTATCATTTTATTATATATGTTATCTTATTTATTTACAAGGGGCTGGATAAAATACATTATTTACAATGTCCATTGCTAATTTTAACTAGTTAAGAGAACTTTGCTGCCAATGTGGTCCTACCTAACTCGGCCCAAAAATAATGAGTAATTGTATTGAAAAAAAAATATCACACATAATATTTGATTGATTAATTAAATTCTTACCATTAGATATTGATTCTTTAAAAAATAATCTTAGACTAACTTAGACTAATTCAAATTGAACAAAACAGATTACAAAACCAAATGGATCTAAAATCTTGTAAAACTCATTGGCTTGGTCAACTTTAGTTTTTTTTTTTTTCACTCAAAACTGAACCAAATCAAACCTTTAAACACCCTATTATTTGCTATTGAAAATATATGATGAGTGAATGATTTCTATGATTTAATAAAAGAGTTAGTCACTTACTTAACCTTCCAATTAGAATAAAATATGTTAATTATAATATATTTAGAGTTATTGGTACTCATCAATACAAATGATTTTTAATAAATTTCATTCTGGTAAAGTCTCAACAAATTTTAAAATGTAAAGAAAGACCCTTAATTTTTAATTGGTATTTTCATCTAATGCAATATGTTTCAAATTTGAAAATTGAAAAAACGCATTGTAAATTCAATAAAAAAATATTAATTTTATACGTTAGTACCAAGTAATACAATATTAGATTCATTCCCTTTGTTTTTAATATAAAGTTTTAATATATCAAAATATCAAAATATTAAATTTGGATGGTGCAATATTTTAGAGGAAGACCATTGGTTGAGGAAAACAGTTATAGGGAAAAAAAAAAAAATTTAAGAAACTTAGTCAATATTAATTTTCTTATAAGGTCATTTTTTATAATTTATTTGTAACAATCATCATCATCATTTGCAAATATTCACACACAATTTATAAGTTATCTATAAATTTATGAAAAACTAGTTTGAGATGTTAATATTTAAAAAATAATATATATAAAATATTTAATAATTTAAAAATATTTATTAAAATTTGTTTTAACAAGACTTTAGGGTGTTCAATATTCCTTAGAAAAGATTTTAAGGATAAATTAGTATCAAAAAATATAATTAAAATTCTACTTATCACTGGACGCAGGCCTCATGCATGTGTTACGTTAGTAAGATAAGTGACTAATAGAAAGGGTCTTTTTGCTCCTTAAAAAAATGGTTCAAGAAAAAAATTATCCAGCTTTGCTCAAAAAGAGTTTAGGGGGAAAAATAGCATTAACCTTTTCATAAAACATTTGTGAAATAATATTTTTCGCAATGTCGTATATGTTATATATTTATTAAAAGTATAACAAGAAAAATACAAATGATTTTATTTAAATTTAATCCATCATATTTAAACCACGTAAATGTTCCAGTAAAATCCTTAAGATTAAGATTGACAAAAATATTCATAAATTAAGAGCTATATACATAACATTATCCAAATGTCCTCCATTCCATTAATTTTTTTTAATCATTGACTTTTCCAATGGAATAAAAATTAACAGAATTAACAAAACATGCATGAGAAATTGAGGGGTGAATTTGGACATGAATTGTTTCCATTTCAAATTCTACGGTTCTTATTACATTGAACTAAACGAGGTCTTACTCATCATTCAAGTAATGAAAAAAGGTTAAAATTAGCAACAATTAAAGGGTATAGAATCCATGCATGCATGGATTGCTCAGAGAAGACTAATTCAACTTTGGATCCTGAATTTTCCATGTGTCTATGAATATAACTATTCAAATCTTACCAATAACTCAGTCATAATTAGTACATTTAACCTGCTAAATTTGGTGGTAAAAAACACATGATAAATTATATGGCCATATTGGACTAAAATTTTCGTTGATTCATTTCACTTAAAAAAGGTGAAGAAATCGGCTTTTTTAATTAAAAAGATAGATATTACAAATATAATCAAAATACATGGCAAACCAATAAATTTTAGGATTTGTTGGAAAAAAAAAAGAGAGTAAACAAAAGACATCTTTGATCCTCTAATTTTATATAAGATTTCTGTTTAATTATTTAATTTTATAAAATATCTTTTTGGTCCACCACCATTTCTAATATCATTAGTCTTAAATAATTTTTTGGTGCAAATCATTATTATTTAAAAAATTAAACTTATTATTATTTTGTCAACAATAATTTGCAATATTAAAGTTAGAGAACTTAAAAGAAAATTTATAAAATTAAGGAATTAAAATAAAATCACATGAAAATTTAAAAAATGTGCTATGTGTTGTGGGAATATCATAAGTATGCATCAATTATCCATGAATAATTATAGGGTTAATGAGTAAATAAAACTTTAAACTCTTGTTTGAAAATCGTCCTAGACCCTAAACTCTTAAAACAAACAAAATAAATCATAAACTTTTAAATTTATACTAAAATAAACTTTGACCGTTAACTTTTTAACACCGTTATTGTTCATGTAGATACTGGTCAGGGTTTACTTTTTTATGAATTTAACCCTGACTATTATAGTACCCATGTGGACAATAACAATGTTAAAAAAGTTAATGGTCAATGTTTTGCTATTAATTTAAAAGTTTACAATTTATTTTGTAAATTTTAAAAGTTTAGGGTCTAACACAATTTTAGAGCAACAATTCAAGGTCTTATTTGTTCATTAACCCATAATTATATATTCATTATAAATAATAAAAACAAAAGCTAAATGAAAAAAATAAAAATCTCATCCTTTAATTTATATCTACCACATACAGGTAACAGGCTCCTAAGATTTTTTTTTTTTTTCGGTCAAAAAAAGCTCCTAAGATTAGAAAGCCAGATTTGAAAAAGATCATCCCCTGATTTGTAGTACCACCGCAAGCCAAATTAGATACATCATCTGCGATCTGTTCTCTGTATTAGATATATAAATACAATGATTCGCGCGTCTGGATTCACGAATACTTCACTTGGAAATTAAATTACCTACATTTAGAGAAGCAAAGCTATATATATAGACGCACAGTGTCTTCCAAGAAATCAAGCAGATCGAAGCAAAGACTCTTAAAGAGTATATTATTTTTATTATATCGTCATCGTTATCATCATCATGAAGAGCTTAGTTGTTGCAGACAACAAAACAAACCTTTATCCTTCACTTGTGCCAAATCTTGCTCCTCTTCCTCTCAACTCCAGCAATGGCGGCTTCCCCTCCTCCACCAACATTTCTCCTCTCCCTAACTCCTTCATCAACCTCGACCAGTAAGATACTGATTCAGATCTGTGTATATATATGTGTGAGTCTCTTTCTATATGATATGTATATTTTCTGGTTTGAATGCACATTGTTGATGATGGTGCAGGGGAGATCCGGTGCTGTTTGAGGCGTACTGGAAGAGGATGAGCGAGGAGTGTACGGTGGAGATTAAGGGCTGCGAGCTTCTGAGCTATCTGAGTGATCTGGGGAGTGTGTGTTGGTTCATGAAGCCGGAGCTCAGAGACGCCATTAAAAAGCTTCATGCTCTGGTTGGCAACGCAGAGACGAATGATAGGCACATTGTGGTCGGCAATGGCTCAACACAGCTGTTTCAGGCTGCTCTCTTCGCTCTCTCTTCTTCACTTTCTTCTTCGGATGATGAAAACCCTATCAATGTGGTCGCTGCTGCTCCTTATTATTCGGTCAGCTTAATTCTCTCTCTTCTTCTTGTCCAAATCTTTCAGTTAATTAAGGAGGTTTCTTTTTCCTCTATTATTATCTTTGTGTTATTATTGGTCCTCAGTTCATTGTATTATGATAAATTGATGGCTATACAGATTTCTGACTATATATTTCTAGGAATTTCTAAATAAGCCATAATATTGCAGGTGTTTTTGTGGGGCTTTATATGCTTACCTTTTTCCTGGGGAATTAAATTCATAAATTCCACCCGGAAAATAAAAAAGATTATTCTTCTTTCCTATTGCTGTAGTATTGTGTGGAAACTTACCAAATCTATTCATTCTTAATGGATAACGAACCTTTACCTTCATCATCTTGCATGTCAGGTTATGTGAACCGTTAGATCAAGGGGACGGTCCAGATCATATTTCTGGTTGTGATTCACCTCCACATTTATATCCCTTTGATCTGCTTCTAATTATACAATCTCAGACGATTAAGTTCAATCAAACCAGTGTGTCCAGTACGCATGAACGAACGACCCAAGAAGTAACCTTTTCTGTGCCATCAGGTTCACCTAATGGCCAGGATTTACTGACAGGAGAGGACAGGATTTAAAAGAGGTGCGACAGTGAGCTATGACTGCACACAACACAATAATAATAAAGGATTTGTTCATGTGTTAACAAATAATGATGCTGAGAGAAATTGTTCAAATCGTGGGTGCAATTGCTGAGCCAGTTCCGTTGAATTTGGAGCCTAGGCAAAACCTTCCGTCTTTTTAAATTTAGCAGACAAACAAAACTGACAAAACACTTTTTCCCGGAGATACTATATATATGTATAACAGGAGACATGCAACATACACATTCACGTCCGGACATATGAACTTTCAGATTCTAGTTTATACGCAAACATGGTATACTGATCCTGATGGTCAACGGTCAACCTCAAAACTTCAATAATCTCAACATGTCTTTTATTTTCTGAAACCCGAGGCTTTAAAACAAAAACATACTGAAACATTTGTGTCTGCCTGTGTGCAGGAGTATCCAGACCAAACAAATATTTTGCGTTCAGGCTTACACAAATGGCATGGTGATGCTGTGGAGTATGACAAGAATGAAGCATACATCGAGGTAGTGACGTCTCCGAATAACCCAGATGGTAGCATTAGAGAACCAGTGGTGAACAACAAGAGTGGAGGTGAAGGCAAGCTGATTCATGACCTTGCTTATTACTGGCCTCACTACACTCCCATAACTCACAAGGCCAAGCACGACCTTATGCTCTTCACTTTCTCCAAATGTACTGGTCATGCTGGTTCTCGTATTGGGTAAATACAATCCCCTGTTCAATTATATTGATCATTGCTGTGTTTCGTTTCAATGGATTTTGAGTTTGACTACTGGTTTTCTGTTGTGAAGGTGGGCTATTGTGAAGGATACAGAGATTGCGAAGAAGATGACCAAGTTTATACAGATGAGCTCCATTGGAGTGTCGAAAGAATCCCAAACTAGAGTTGTTAAGATAATTGAAGTTCTTTGTGATAGTTATAAGAATTTCAAACTGGGGTCTAAAGAATCTGAGCTGTTCTTTGAGCACAGTAGGAGCCTTATGAAGGAAAGGTGGGAAAAGCTGAGGGAAGTCGTCAAACAAAATGGTGATTTCAGTTTGCCAAAGTTTCAAAGGGCCTATTGTAACTTCACTAATGAATCATCTGAGACATATCCTGGTACGTTTTGTTACTTGTATGTATACCTTTTGGTTGTTCAATTTATAGCGTTTGGTTCTGATACCTCTTGTTGGGCTTTTTTGGTTGCAGCTTTCGCATGGTTGAACTGCAAGAAGGAGGATGAAAATTGTGAGGGTTATTTGGAAAAGAAATTGAAAATACTTGTTAGAAGTGGGATCCGATTTGGATCTGATCCAAGGTATGCTAGAATTAGCATGCTGGTGAGAGGTGACGACTTTGACGAATTCTTGAAGAGGCTATCGAATATCTAAGAGATGATCCATTAAATATGTAGTTAGAGGGTAGATCTAATAAGAGAGGGTTATTTAATATAATTAATATCTTTGTCTTGTAGTTTCATGAATGTCAAGTAAGTTTTTAATCGAGGGTTATTTGGTATAAAATGTCAAGTAGGTTTTAGAATAAAAACCCACCCTTCTTTTTCTTAGGTGTGGTGGTCTTTGGCTAGCTAATATGTTGTTTAATGAAGATTTGTGTTGTTTCAAAGGAACTATTTACGATAATAATAGAGCATGTTTTTCCATTATTAGCTATTTCTGATATATGGGTCAAAAATATTATATATCTTTGTCTTTTAATTTCAGAGATTTACCTTTACATTATTGTTAACGCCTAACCACACTGATAGTAAACTCAAGTTATTAATTAACCTGAGTTATTTTGAAAGAATATTAATGTTGTAATTAACCAACCATGCATGTATTGAAGCAAAAGATGCTATGTTATTTAACAACGCGTGTACGGCTTTTAATAAGTATAAGACATTCCATACAATTTATTAAGATTACCAACTTAACTTCTTTCAACATATTAAACCTAGTTTTAATAAACTTTCCATGAAAGCATTTAAGCAAAACATATCCAACATTGATTATTTGTAATATATTCCCATTCATTAGAACCTTTTAAACAAACTTGGATCATGCACATAATCCTTCAAAGTTTGTAAGTACTGTTACATCATGCACATGTAAATATTGTATTAACAAAAACATTTAGAATTGCATAAGCTTAATTAGCAGAAAAAGAAATCAGAGCATTGCATAAGCTAGGTGCAGCAAGCTTTTTATGCTGAACATTTTGAGATACGGCTTTTAAAATGAATGAACTGTCTATGAGGCCATTGTTGACAATAACAATCTTGTAAGGCCCATATTAGTTTGGGCATGTGGTGGTAACATATACCTCCAAGTTTTTGAGTATACTGAGAGATGGAATAAAAAAAAATGAATGAACTAAAAATATTTTTATTGACTATTAGTTCACTTAAAGCAATGACCTGAGGCTACCGTGTTCAAGGGTGAAACAAGATGCGGCTGGAACCAAACTCTTTCATGCACCAAAATTGTTGACGCAGTGCAAGTGGAAGCAGGAAGTTCGTATATGTGATATGACCACGAAAATCATGACATTTTCAGTCCACTATATATAGCACCACGGAAGGAATGTCCACCATGAACTTAAGACATTATATTAATTTATCGAAAACAACACTATTTTTTTAAGAAAATGTAATTTTGAGTTCTTATACTTTATTTGTGTTTTAATATAAGTTCTTGCACTTTTTTTGTGTGTTTTACATCTCTACACTTTTGTTTTTTGATGTTATAGGTCTCTTGAAGATCCCTACACTTTTTTCATAGAGAGACCTAGAATACTAAAAAACAAAAGTGCAAGAACTTAAAATAAAAAAAAAATGTAGAGACATGTAGTAAAATATGAGAAAAGTGTAAGAATCCATAGTTACATTTTTTCAATCTTTTTCCATCATTAACCAACAAGGAAAACAGAAGAGATGTACGCGTTGTCAGTGTTGACACATTATAACTGCCTCGTTTCATGGCCTTATGGGATGGAGCTCATCAATTTTGTTGCATATTTTAAAACATTCAAAAATGTTTCTAAAATATTATTTATAGTAAAAAAGTAAATTAGCCAGTGTTTGGGACCCTAAATTTATTTACGGTATAATATTTTCCTTTAACTTTTGAAAATAATGTAACTTGGCTCTTACAAAAGTTAACTTTAATTATTAGTTGATCAAAAAATAATAAATAATGACCTCAAAAATTAAAACAAAAAGGATGAATAAAATTTTCTTCATCCTTTTATATAATTTTTAAGTTCTTCACTATAATTTTTTGATCATTTTCTTTAACTTTTGAAGTCGTTTTTTGTTGGTTTTTTATCAACTAACAGTCAGACTTAACTTTTATTAATTGTGGGGGCTAGATTGTACTATTCTTATAAGTTGAAGGGAAACAATGCATCAAAAATAAATGTAGATTCTTGGATACCCCTGAATCTATAATATAGGGACCAAATTGCTCTTTTAGGCAAACAAAATTTTCTAATACATCCAAATTATATATTCTGTGAACATGAAGTATTTTAATATGGAATGAAATACATCATAGCCCTTAGAATTTATTTCAGATCATTTTCCCTGTATATAATACAGAGAGGAACATGAAATGACATATGACGTTCATTGGATTGTCCTTCAATATTGCACCTTCACTCTTGTAAATGTAAAACGTGTATGTTTCTCCTTATTCCTTTTTTGTAGAATATACTGGAAATTTAGTGCATTTTCACAAGTCTATATGCCTAATTCTTATTTTAAAATTCATCCAAAAATTTCTCATTATAAGTTGTGGGTATTCAGAGTTTAAGGAAAATGGGGCTAATTAATTAATCTCAATATCATATTAGCTCCTTTTACCGATAATTAAACTGGTAGAATTCTTAATTAGGATGTTTAGTACTGATTATGTAATCATTTAAAACAAAGTAATATATGAAAATTGAGATTCATGTTTGTAATTAGAAAATTAAAGAACCAACACTTAAAAAAAACATGATATTAGAGATTAAAGTCATGACTTAAGAAAATTATCCTAAGTCAATTACCCTAATTAGCTAACTTCCCTAGGTCAGTCCCTAGTTCAATTAACTAATTGGTGTAAAAATTAGCCAAGTGAATCACTCAAAACTCTCCCTCAAATGCCACAACCAAGACAAGGAATCAAGTAACCACAAGATTATGTCAAGCTACTCAACAACTCAATCATCAACATCACAAGATCATACAACATTAATACATGTAATTCACTAATTGAAAAACATAATATTATGTGCCAAACAAAGAGTGGCCAAATTCAGTCATGGCTATTCAAGGAAGAAATTAAATAAAACAATCCTCTCTTTTTACATCAATATCAAATTCAAATTAGAATTTACAAGGTAAGATGATTGAACCCAGATTGAGGAATCTAACCATCTAGTAAAAAGAAAAGAGGATAGAAAACAAAAGAACTTAACCAATTTGAAGCTCAAGACTTATCCTTTAACTTCATCTCTCTAGGATTCCACCAAAGGAATAAGCCAATCTTCATAATATTCAAGAACTCTAGTAACTGCTTTTAAAGGCCAAACTCCATAGCTTTTGAATGATGAAAATGAGCTTCAATCCTTGTGAAAGAGGGAGGGTTAGGATGAAATTGAGGACAGCAAAAGAATGGTGTGAGTTTTGTAGGGGTTCGATAGTTGAAAATGGAGGTTAGGATGCTAGAAAATAAAAAACAAAAGAAAAAATGAAAAACACTATGAACAAGTGAGAGAAAATTAAGGAGATGAATGAAACGAGTATTGGATCTAAATTTTTTGAGTGAAATGGCATGCTCCCACTTGTTTCCCATCAACTGAAGGCTCAATTAAAAAATAAGAAAAGAAATTAAAATGAAAATGGGGTCCTTGTCACATTTGCAAGATGGCACTCTCCTACCCAATGTGTGCCTAATTTCTCATGTGTCATTCACATCATTTAGGCTGATTTAATACCTCAAAATAATCAAAATTCACATGCAAATGCTCAGCCATTGACCTCAAGGAGTGTTGATTTTAATTGCCTAATTGATGCACGAGTCATATGCCACCTATGTCACATAAATCACATAAATCAATTAAATAACATGTGATATAATAAAATCTAATTAATGTTTAGAATTAAATTCATAATTACAAGGGAAAATTTATTAAAATAACTAAGTTTTAGGATGCACAAAATTATATTACAATTTTCACACAAAGACAAATAAAAAGCTAGGTCAAACTAAGATATTTTAAAAAGTGTTAACTTTTTATTTAATTACTCCCAAACTAAAATAAATTTTAAAAATAAAATTTAACCACTCATCAACTGGCCATAAAATGAACTTTTTTAATTTTTCTTGTACACTTTCTCAAAAGTTTATTTTTTGGATCAAAATGCCCTTAGTGCACTAAACCTAAAAACTTAGACAAAATTTAAAATCTAATGCAATGTGTGCACTTTAAGGTGATAACTCATTAATAAAAGAATCTTAATTGACAAATAAAAGTGAGTAACAAATGTGTTCTATCAGCCATCAACAACTTTTACCTAATTAGTTCAATATTTTGAGTTGTTTGATTCACAATGTTAAGTCCTAATATACTCCTCTTGCTCAACTTCATCCAACATAAAGGCAACTTGCACTTTCTCTTATACAATGCCTCATACAATGCCATCTGAATACTGGAGTAGTAACTGTTATTGTAAACAAATTCAGCCAAAGGAAGATGGCGATCCCAACTACCTTTCAACTCCAGAACATAAGTTCTCAACTTATCTTCCAGGGTCTGTATAGTCCACTTCGTCTGCCTATTCATCTGTGAATGATGTGCAGTATTGAATCTCAACTCAATACCTATGGCTCATGGTAAAGCTCCCTAGAACTTAAATGTAAACCTCAGATCTCTCTCATAAATTATGCTTTCAAGCACACCATGCAACCTCACAACTTTTTGGATATAGATCTTGCTAATTTCTCTAAAGAATCATTGATCTGAATTGCTAGAAAATAAGCCAACTTTATGAGTATCAATAATTACCCAAAAAGCATCATGGGCTGATTGAGTTCTTCGCAACCCAAATATGAAATACATAAATATACTATCCCACTTTCACTTAGGGATATCCAGCAATTGCAACATTCCTATTGGTCTTTGATGCTCTATCTTAACCTTCTAATAGGTTAAACACTGAGTTACAAACTCAGCACATCTCTCTTTATGCTAGGCCACCACTAATATTGCCTTATATCTTGATACATCTTTGTTGCTCCTGGATGGATTGTGTATTTACTGCAATGTGCTTCATTTAGGATAGCCTTCCTCAAATTTGCATCATTAAGCACATAAATCCTATCTCAGTAGACAATGAACCCATCATTATTGAAATTGAAATTAATGGCTTGATTTTCCTCAATCTCTTCTCTGATCCTCTTAAGACACTCATCTTCTAGTTGTGCCATTCTCAGTTCCTCTTAGAAATCATTATTGAGCTCTATGGAATAAGCACTAACTAACACTTTTAGTAGCGCATCTTATTGTGACTCAACAAAGGATTC